ATCGCTCCACGACTCACACACGCCCACTGGCACTGCACTCATCACTGCATTCCCCACAACACCACTTCATTGCGCACCGAATGGTGATGCCGTCGCTGTGCTCCCGAAGGCAGGCGTCGTGCTCGCCCCAAACGCAGGCGCACTCTGCCCGAACACCGAACTGCTTCCGAAAGCAGGAGTCGATGCCGCACCAAAAGCTGGAGTTGTCGTCGCCGCCCCAAATGCTGGACTCGACGCCCCGAACAGTGGGGTGGTCGTGCTTCCAAACGCAGGGGCCGACTGCGCACCGAAAGCTGGCGCTGTGGATCCAAACGGTTGGCTCCCGAACGCTGCCTGCGACTGTCCAAAAGACGGGGACCCGAACGGATTCTGCTGAGGTTGAGTGGAACCGAATCCGCCAAACGGTGAGGCAGGCTTTTGTTGACCAAACGCCCCTGCACACCCAAACCAGACGTTACTCACGCCTCAGCAGGACGACACTCCTATTCCTAGCACCCCGGCCCATGACATACAAGCCACCACCCTGTCAACCTGTTCATGCCATGTTAATGCCATGGAATACCACAATCCTCGTGTCAAGATCACAAATGCGCCCTTCTCAAACGCACACCAAGCAGTCATCCGAAACCCAACGTCTCACAATTCCAATATGCGCGCCGATAACAACTGCAGTAGTAGAAAGCACCCGAACAGAATATTACACTCCCCTACACAAAACTCTTCCGGCTCCTGAGCCCGTCTACATCGCCATCGATCAATCACGGCCCTCACCACCCCCAACTGATGTTGTGAGCTGGTCGAGCTACTGAATCACAAACCCCTCGTCGGTGTGCGTGTCCTGGGTTCTAAAGGCAAATGTTGGAAACTCATTCATACTCGCAAAAGCACCCCACCTCCTCACACGCGCCCAAGTCAACTTCGTCGTGCCACACCCACCCTGAGGGCTGGCAGCACGGCTGCCCCAACGCCCCTCACCACTCAGGATCGTCAATATCATCCACCACGCCAACGTCTCCCTCACACGCAAAGGCAAATACAACAGCCTCACGATGC